ACATCCGGTAAACTAAAGGAGATGTTCTCCTTAATGTCAGAATGTGCCGACCACCTTATCCAATACATGGAAAAAGTAAGGAGCGAAAATAAACCTGTCGAGTGTCACGAGTTGACAGCCAAATATACGACCGACGTTATCGGCAACTGTGTCTACGGCATCGAGATGAACGCTTTGTCGAACGAAAACAGTGAATTTCGAAAAATGGGAAGAAAAATATTCGAACCGACTTGGACAAATATATTACAAATAAGACTGAGACTAATGTTTCCGCGGCTTTACGAATTATCCGCGTATGTCCTACCGCAAACGGAAGTCACCAAATCCTTCACACGCGTTGTCGTCGAGACCATGGACTACAGAGAAACGAATAATATTACTAGAAACGATTTCGTTGATATGTTACGTGAATTAAAGAAACATCCTGATAAATTGGACGATATTGGTATGTATGTTTATATACATATATTACTTCTTTCTGTCATAAGACTATGTCTCACATGAAACTATACCAGTTCTACATGTACAATTTCTACTGAATTATTTATGAAATAACAATGAATTGTGATCAATTGAGAGAGAATTTCAGTAAAATTTTATTATATTTTTAGTAAAATATTTCCATCAGTTTCCTTTCGCTGTCAAAAATATCTTTTAGTCGCAAAATAGTTTTAATTGAGAATCTTAAGGTAGATAATTTGTATGCCGTTTTTAGGAACTCGTTTCGCTGTTTTTCAGAGTAAAGTTGAGCTTGTAAGGGTACTACAAAATTACAAAATCGAAACTTGCGCGAGAACTCCAATACTGTACGTAAACGATCCTAAAACATTGCTATTAGTTCCAAAAGACAGACTGCACTTGAAAATAGTTAAAATTAATTGAACTTAATTTAAGCTTTTCTTTGAGTCTCCATAGAGAGCATGCGTAATAAAATGTGGAAGAAAAATTATCAATTAAAACAGTGATAGGAGTCATTGTATCGGCTGCTATAATCCTTATTAATTTTCTTGATATAGATGTGCTCTAACATTTTATATTAAGTAATTAACAATTTATAGATAGCTTAATTTTAAGTTTTTTGCTGTGATTATTAAGATATCATATACATATCTTAATAATCTTTTTAAATTACTTTTTTTTATTTATGAGTTAAACATACCATTTACATTACATATACATATATTAAAAATGTAAATTCAAAAGTATTGCAGATCAAATATCAAACAATTACATTTAAAATATTTTTATAATTTATACATTTTTTATCAATAAAATAAATCCATATAAATATGCATCATAATATATGAAATCGTTGGACTATAAATAATCGAAAATAAGAGCCAAAATATAGACTAAAATGCGAAAATGTCGCAAAATGCTTTTTTAAATTTATTTAATAAATTACTTCACATTATCTTGAACTTAAAATGTAATTTTCAATATCTGATTATATTATTAGCATGCAGTATGTAAATCAAATATTTGTATATCATTCATATTTGATTTGCATGTAATCTGATATACTTTATATAAATTTATATTTTAACTTACTTTAGTTTATATTTTATAAAATTTTTACATAATTTTTTAATCAGCATGAATATGTATAATACAAAATATATAAAAAATATTGTTTGAATAAAAAATATTGATTTTCTTACAATTTTTATTTAATTTGACATTGAATTTATTATTTGGCTTGGAACTCTTATAGAATTATGAGTTTTAATTTAATTTTCTCTTTTGTTTTATTTATTTCTGTGCATAAATATTATTTGCTTTGTCATATGTTTGTTGTTTACAATTTTGTTTGCGCTTGTTATTTACTATTTTTAATGTACAATATTTACATATTTACAATATGTAACGTTAAAACTGATCTATTCAGCAATCTATTGAATGGAATAGTTTTACATGCAACATAGCATCGAATGTTATCTAATTGTTTAAAATTCTAATCAGCTAGCTATATTTGTACACATATATTAACGTAACTTACAAAAGGCAACAGCGTAGCGAATTTTGAACAGTTCTTTCGTTGATAAAATAAAAGTGACACTTATAACTGGTTTTTCAGACACAAAAATCATTTATTTCTTAATATGAAAATATAAAAATAATCGAGAGAGTATAATATGTATTGATATTTGGACAGTTATTTCTCATTTTCCTTAAGTAAGTTATAAACCTTTAAAAGCGATAAAGATAATATAAGTTACAGGCTAAACTTCGACAAACTTTTTTATTACTTTGTTTCCTTTATTGTTTAGCGATGACATCATACTTTCATTATTTGAAGCTCACGCGTATTCTTTATGCGCCTTATTATATATATTTGAAGCATTTAATATAACATTATTGTACGTTATTGAGCATATATTTTGTTTGAATCTTATCAACTTTATAACTTTTTAAGAT